TCACTGGTATAGCTTGAAATTGTCATGTTTTGAAATTTGCCCTTTTGGGACAAATTTCAAGCAATTAATTTGTTCTGCCGTGTAGAATCTTGTAGAAAAATGTACAGTTTTAATTTACATGTGTGGAGAGAGGTCCTTTTTGAAAGAATTATTTTCCTTTAAAGTTGCCCATGCTCTTTTTTCATAATGAAACCTATGATCATATTCTTCCTTATTGTTGACTTAAAAATAACATCATAGAGAGATGACTAGCTAAATTCTAGGAAAACCATCAATACAGATGTACATTTCTCTGGAACTACCCCACTTCTAATTGAACTGTACTGAAGAATTTGTGACTTCTAGAAAATGAAAGGGGAGAAAATACTTCAGCTGAATGCTGAGGGGAGGGTAATAAGGGAGTTACACACGGCTATTTTAGAAATTAAAAGATTGTTTATAGGATTCAGTGGTTCCAGAAGTAATGCTAAATAGATACCTGCCATAGTTTTAACATGTGGACATGTTCTAAAGAAGGATTTTGCCATACTAGACTTACTCTTCTGTTTCCAACTATATGGGACTCGCAAAGATTTTAGAAATTTAGAGTTGCTGACTTTCAGATGTTTATGGTTTTTGCTATGAATGAAATGGGTTTTATCCTGTAATTGCAGAATAATTAGCATAAATTATTATCAGAATTTACAAAATCATAGAACAGCCTAAGTAGTTTCAGGACAGGCACCTGTTGCTGTAGTCAATGTGTAATATTTAGTCAGGGAGATTGATCTGGTAGGTAAGGAAGAATACTTTGTTTCATTAACCTATCATTGAGTGCCACACTTTGTGGTGGCCTCTTATTTGACTATTTACTCAGCACTACAGATTACCTGTTTTTAAAGAAATGTCCAAAATCAAACTGAGCTTTCTAAGCAACTGGCTTCTAGTTCCTACTGAATAACAAGGAAAGAATAAACTTAATCTAGCTGTAGCTGTTCTATTACTCTTGCCTTACCTGTTGCCAGTTAATAACCCCCAAGAAATGTAAAAAGGCTGCCTTGAAGTAGAAGAGGTGGAAAGTCTCATGATGTAAAAAAAGGAGTCTTAAGATCTTAGGAGATGATTAATATGTTTGGAATGATAGAATGAGTGCAGGAATAGAGGAGGATGTTGCAGCCTTGGTTTGATAGCTGTCCTTATTTAGAGCTATTCCATTTACCTCGTCTACCACAGTCTGAAAGAAGGAATATTAGCCATCTAACTGGCACTCAGAAGGTGGGTGCTGGTTTCTGTGAGGTAGGCTTTGTGCTGGAAGAAGTGTTCATTAGGGAAGGGTTAGGCAGCATGGTTACTTGTCCTGCCCCTGCTTGTTCACTTTCACTGTGTGGCCTCACAGAGAACTGGTGCAAGCAGCTTGCTGAGGCTGAGCAGCTGCCTAACCCCACGCAGTTGTGCTGTGGAATCTGAAATGGATGTGATGGCACAAGGGCAGTGTGAACTCCTGTCTCTGCTTAAAGAAGTGCTTGTCAAGTGTCTATGAACTGTGGACAGGGAAGTATATCAAGGTAGCTTTATAAGCAAGATTTGCCTACTCTTTTGACTGTTTTTCAGCTGGACTTAACAACTGTATAGCTAAGAAGTAACCAGTGGAAGACTTGTGTACAGAGGGAGATTAGGGGCATGGTAGGACTCTCTAGGCTCTGAAGAAAGATTCAATTAGAATCCTCTAAGACATTATCTAGGGCACTACCCTATTGTGTGGAGTCTTTCAACAATAAAGGCCTTGCAAACCCAGAGCAGCCTGTAGCAGATCTTCGTCCCTACATTAAATGCTTCGTGTTACAAAGTATTTTAAAAATATCTCTTTCACATCTATGTGGGAAAGAAAGAGATGGAACAAATGGTCTTTACAGACTGAAGTTTTGTAATTTCTTTGTGTATTCTGTATAAGCAGAATTGTGAAAACACTGAAGAAGTAAATGTCATCTTTTTCATTAATCCAGAGTATCTCAAACATAGACATCTTGTACTTCTACTTGCGCAACTGCCATGGTGTCAGTTTATCTTTGCAATCTTCTAGAACATTTTTGTGTTTGGTTTGGTTTTGCTTTGTCAGTGAATGAGAAGGCTTATCATTTGTAAGCTGCCTAAACAAGGAGATGATGAAAAGCATCTTTTTTGTATTCTTCTACTTGAGAAATACCTTGATCAGCCACCTGAGAAAACACTGGCATTCCTAGCAGTTTTCATATACTACATCCTTCCAAGGGGCATGCTATAGTTTATAAATGCACTGTAATTGGGTGGGTATATAACTTAGTATTGATACTAAAAGTTAAAAATTGGAGTAGTGTTTCAGTGTAGCACTCAGACAATAACAAAAAGTATAAACAAAATCTTCAGGTAAGATTCTAAATTGTCCTGTAAGAAACTAAGTTTTGTAGTCAGGGCTCTAGAGTTAGCAAGCCTAGGCCAGGCCAATTATTCTACAGTGTCTTGATTTAATGTTTAATTGTTTAGTTTTTTAATGCAGTTATAGATAAAAGTATGTAAATTTAAAAACACACTTTGTATCAATTTGAAGATATGAAGACAGACATTTGAAATTATGATGGTTCCCTGTATTGTAAGAACCCCAAAGCTTTGTTGATCTTTTATTAAACCAAATAAAACAGTTGCATAGCTGATAAGCTTGGGGTTTAAAGAGTTTCTCTGTGTTTTCGCTGCTGTAGTGGGTTAATGGTTATGAATGTAATGGCAAAATCTAGTGAACTGCCTTAGGATATACTGACTGAATGATGTGTCAGTTGTAAGTAAAGGCACATGTCATGGATGAGGGTTGTAATTTTGGTATAGTTTTTCTCCTGTCAAAGCTGGTTTAGTCCACCATTCTGGAGCAGCAGTTCATTGTGTGCTGCAGTGAGCTACATCTTCAATTTTATGGATACAGGCCAGTTACAGAGAGTTGTAAAACAGGCCACTGCAGCCATCTGCATTGTATTTCTTTGTATTTGTGTGCTAAAAATGAAAGAAGTTGGAAAATATTTTCTTCTGAAAATGTTTGAGGTGTTTTTTTTTAATCCCAGTGTATATAAAATTAAATATGAGATTGTAAGAATATATGTTGGACATGGTAATACACCATGCTTTTCCACAGCCTTCTGGAAGTATGCAGATGTTTCTTCTGTTGAATAAATACTAAGTTAAAAACCAAATTAAAGCCCCCACAACAGGAGTTGTGTCAGTAGTGGTTTTTCTTCCTGCCCTCCAGTAAGTAAAAGGTAGGTTTGGTGTAATAAAGGACAATCATTAATACTTTCTACTACATCTGCACATACAGCTTTTGTTTAATTAGCATGATATGCATTTTACAATCAAAATATGCTCTTTAGGTGCAATACCTGAGTGCTGGTATACTCAATGTAGTGCTAATAGGTGAAAATTAATATCAGTATTGCATGTTAATTGCATTCTAGTATCTGTGCAAATACAGTGTAATATGCATGACATCTAGTAACTGTTTAGTTGACAGTTCTTTAAAATACAGTGTTTATATTTTTTAGTTCTCTTAATGTAAAAATGATTTTGCTGTTTGTCACAATTAGATGTTGTATTTAAGTATACTGTTAAGATGCAGTTTCATGGTTAAAAATAAGTCTCTACTGTTGCTGGAGAGGAATGAACACTCATGTTTTCTTCCATCCACACTAACACCTGTGCTCCTTCATGAGCAGCTAAATTTGGCTGAAAAGGTCTTTAAGCACCCTAGCCTAGTCACAGTCTTCTGTTGTGAATGACTTTCCCACACTAGGGAAGCAGCAGGAACACATGATTAGCCAGGATGAGGAGAATCTAATTGCTCCTTTTAGTACAGACCCCATCCATATAAGCCGGTACTCTGAGCAGTGTTTTTGCAGCCGATGCAAGCCAACATGATGGCTTTTCCTTACCCTTTTCTTTGCAGTGGATCCTGCCACTTCTCAATGTCTCTTTTAGCTGAATAACTAATCTAGCTCAGCTCAGAATGCTGGTAGGCTGGAGAATTGATTAATCTCATAGGATAACTCTTGGGCACTAGACTTGATGCAAGATAAACAGTTCATGTACATGTAGGAATGTTGGACCAAGGGCAATGGGAAGTTCTCTTTCCACCAAAGTGTTGAGAAGCTGTTTGGATCAACTTATTCCATCTTGTAGGATCCCCTGGTCTCCACTTTCCATTAAAATGCTTTTATGGAAGAAAGTGGTGAAAGTTTCAGGAAATGTAACTTCCTTTCAGAGGTGTTTTGTTTGTTCAAGGTGTACCTTGTTTCTTGTTGGCGTTTTGAAGTTGATGCTTGGCTGGGATATTACAGCAGTCTTAATGAGTAAACAGATGTAACTGGAGCTAGATGCTGATTTTTGAATGAAGGACCTGTAGTACTCAGAGTCTGAAATTGTTAACATTCTTAAAGCAAATACCTTGACCTTTCTCCTAAAAATTTGATGGTAAGTCATATGTATTTTAAAAAAATGTACTGAAACAAGTTTGTTTTTGTTTTTTTTTTTAATGTGCCATGAGTGTGTTTAAATATATGTCAAATTAGTTTTGCTCAAGTTCCCCTGTGTCCTGTTGCAAATGCAGATTTTACCTATGTGGCTGTGCATTTATGGAAGTAATGTTGTATTGCAGACACAAAGCCTACAGCCAGCCTACAGCCTCATTTCTTTTCTGAACCAAGTTTTCTTAACCAAGTTATTCTTGTTATTTTAAAAAGGGTAGCAGGATAGAATTAAATCAGTGTAACATATTGATTTAAATCAATAGTGTAATATAGCTGAATTTGCTGATTTATTAAGATATGGGAAAAAGTTATGTTGTTGGCATTTTTTTTTCCTGAAAAACAAGTTCCTGGCAGTTGTGGGTTTTGTGTATAGGAAGGGGGTGTTCTTGGGAAGAATAAGTAAAGGGAGTTGTTGCACTTTTATGTTGAGCTTTCTCTGTAACAGCTTTAGTAGTAATCTTGTCTTTTATTTCTTTAGTGTGGTCCTGACTAGCTGCTTCTGGTGTCAGTAACAGACCTACCATGAGCAACTCTACTCCAGCTACAGGTATACATTTAAAAAAAACCCTCAAAGTTCTTGATCTGTTCTTTCTCTGTGTTGTTTTTTTCTTTCTTTTGTTGTTTTGTGTGTTGAGGAAGATGCAGTAAGTGTATATATTTGTTTACCTGTAGTTTTAGACCAGACAGGAAGTTGAAAATGGGAGAAAGCTGGTACTACTTTTGTTAATATTACTTCCAGCATTAGGTGTACATGGAGTGTTAATGACCAATGGTTGCATGAAGTAACTTTATGTAAAATAAGTTAACTGCATCATGACCTAGACAATTGCCTGTCAGCAATGGTTTCCAAATAGTTTATTTTATATCAGGGCAAAGGACAGAGCAGGTCACCTTTTGTGATCTTAGACACCAAGTCTCTGAGACTTGCTGTATTTTCAGTGGGGAAGGAGGAGTCTGAGAAGCTAACTTGAAGATTTTTCTTTTTGATTTCTTTGATTTGCACATGTCAGGTTGTTTATACTTCTGCTGATCAATTCAGTGTGAGGTCCAAATGTTTCTGCTTGGCTTGAAATAGCATTAGCTTATAGCTCAGCAATGTAATCGGTGAAATATATATTATTAATTAACAGTGCAATGACTGCTCCTTCACAGTGGTATCCAAGATGTCTAAATGATATAGAGGTTTTTGGGATACATTACTTGGCATTCTCATTAATAATCATATAAATCTAAAATAAAATATGATCACTATTGAAATGCATATTTTTACCCAATACAGCTGCTCCAGCTGCAGGTCTTGTTTTTTGTTGTTATGTTTGGGGTTTTGGGGGTTTTTTGGTCTGGTGGGTCGCATATCTAAAATGTATACCCTTCTACCTCAGGCTACGCAGGGAATACATTTGTACTGGTCATGAATTGTGATTGTAATGAGCTTCCCTTTGTACTTCAGGAACCAGTTTTCACTTTGTTCATAAGGGTTTTTTTGGTCTGTCTGAAAGCATTTTTTACTTTCACTCAATTGAGAGTACAATTCAGAAAAGTGGTCACTTTTGGCATGCTTCAAAGAAACGTTGAATCAATTTTGAAATTTAGATGTTGGAAGATACAGATGGTTATCACTCTGCATCAAAATTAGTATTGTACCACAGCTGGAGAAAGAAGCATGGTTTAAAAAATTACGAGGTTTTATATTTGAGATGTGCTAGCTTTTATTGCTGATTTAGTAAATTAGCTAAAGTTTCACAACAAAAGTAACATTTCAACAGTTTGCCACTTAGCTTTATTTTGTCACCTCTGACAATGTGTCAGAACCCAGAAGATACTGCTTCTGCTTCATATAAAACTAGAGGTGAAATTAATTCTAGGCTTCATTTCCTGCTTTCTTTGGTCAAGCATTCCTTGACTTAGTATTAAGTCAGGGACATCTTGTAAATTTTGAACCTAAAAAGTAATGAAATAGGTTGTTAAGTTTACTAGTAATATGTCCTGTTGTGGCTTGGTACCAATATGTGTTTAATATGGTCGTGTTTGTCTTAAAGTTCACATTTTTCAGAATGCAGACAGAGCACATGAAGCCATTTAAAATTTCTTGATGGAAAAATGAATGCATAACAGACTTTTCAGTTTTCCAGGTGGCAGAATTGTTAAGTGTGGTATAGCTGGGGCTTTTATCATCCATCTTGAAATTTTACAGGTTTCCAGTAATAAAAAGACCCTCTGTAAACATCCTTATGCAGAATGACTTGTGTGAACCAGTTCTCAGCCTTAGACCGTATGCAAAACCTACAGTAAAATCTGAAATTTCTTATAAAGCTCCCACAGAAATTTCTTCTCAATCTTTTGTGTTTCTCCTTGGAAGGCTAAATGCAACAGATGAGATATTAAGGCTATCTCTCTTGCCTCCATTGCAACTGCTTCTAGAACAATATGCTTGTTCCAGATATGGTGTTCTGCTTTAAAGTGCTCTCAAGGCTACTGAGTAATGTTCCTGAAATGCAGTCATTGGTCACTTACCGATCCAAATTAGTCCCTTACAGGATCCAAACAGGCATATGTTCAAAAAAAACCCCACTTCTGGCAGTATGTCAAAGTGGAAGATGTAAGAGTTTGCATGGATTTCATGCTGTCTTTCTCAAAGACTTTTTAAAACTTAAAATAATTTGTAACAGCAGGCTTTCTTTATTAATGTAAAAACAAACTCAAAACCTCAAGTTAGCAATTCAGTCCCATAAAGACAAGTTGGTGATAAAAGGAAAATTAATGTATTACCTCCCAGTTGGGACTTTCCTCTTTTGTGCAACTAATATTTTATAGATATCTTATGTAGGCATTTGGGGAGAAGTTACTGACGTCCCGTTAAAAAAAAGAAAACAACAGCAAACCAAAACCAAATCTTCAGAAAATAAACAAGTCCAAAGCAAAGCCAGACATACCCCACCCTCCCCTTGCTATCAAGATTTGGAATAACTGATGAGATCTTCTTACACTGTCCCTTTGTTAGATATGGAATATCCTTTCTTATGGTTCAAAGAACTAAGTACCTAAGTCAATGTCAGTGCTGAGACAGCAGTTTATCTCCTTTAGGTTTTGATATGTACGCTGTGCAATGGGTTTGTCTTGTTTACTTGTCTGTCTCCCTCCCTAAAATATTTTAGATAATGAGAAGAAAAAAAGTAAAGGAAAAAGATCTCCGTGTTCCCCTTCACGTGTCCTTCATATTCGTCAAATTCCAAATGGTGTTACTGGAGCAGAAGTTGTTTCATTAGGTCTCCCTTTTGGCAAAGTAACCAATCTCTTGATGCTAAGAGGAAAAGGTCAGGTATGTAGTTTTCAATGTTTCAATAACAAGAGCAAGACTGAAGATGTGGTTCATGTTATGATAATTTTGATCTTGACCTTGAGTGAAGTGATTGCAACAATGTCTAAATATTTCATTGATAGCAGAAGATTTTCATAATTTTAAATGTGAAAGTATGTTTTGAAATTTATTTTAAGTTTTTTATATGCTTTCAGATTGCATAATGAACTAGAAATTTTTTAATAATATTGCTAAACATTATATCCACTTTATGTGAAAACATATGGATGATCAAGAACTGCATTGTCATTATTGATGACACAGTGACAATGAGCCTGCCTGCTTAAGCTACTGACATGCATGTAATTTTTTGACATCTTTTAATCCTGTTAAATGTGGCAGAGTAGTTTGTGTCATGAAGAAGCACAGAAATCCTAAAAATAATAAACATTCATTCAAAAATTGTCTGGATTAATACAATAATAAACTAATGGATGTTTAATGTTCTGTTCCAGCTTTTTCAATCAGTGTGCATATCAGCTACTTGAGTAATAGTGCTTGATTTCAGGAATTTAGCAAATTGATTAGCAGTGTAGTACTTTTAGCAGCATTACTTCCCATATGTCATACTTATTCCACCTCTTCTTAGATGATATAGTGTACTTACAATATAAAACTTTCTATGAAAACACAAATTGAATAAAACAGCCCCATAAACATGCACACACAAATGCATTCTAATGCTGAGGAAATCAGTATTGTACTGATTTCACATAATCTTTTTCTAGTGAGAGTGGAATTGGGAATAAATTATGCTTTTTTTCTCTCATGTAAACAAAACCATCTTTGAAATCATCTATGTATTGGTTGCAGGCATTTTTGGAAATGGCTTCCGTAGATGCTGCTGTTTCTATGGTGCACTACTACACTCCTGCTACACCTCACCTCCACAATCAGCCAGTTTATATTCAGTATTCCCATTACAAGGAACTTAGGACTGACAATCAGCATAATCAGGCTGTGAGTACAGTGTTTCCATTTAACAGGATATAATTGCATGAGTTGTGAATGCATGTGTTAATACAGAAAGTATTAAGGTGTTTTCTGCTTCTCACGTTGCCCTGCCTGTGATAGTGCTCAAGAAGATGGAAAGGATCTCAACCAAGACAGTTGATCCCAACTGACCTAAGGGATGTCCCACACTCTATGATGTTGGGCTCAGCATTGAAAACTGGGGGAAGGATGAGGAATGTTCAGAGTTGTGGCCATGTCGTTTCCAAGGAATTGTTACACCCAATGAAGTTCCTACTTTCTTGGAAGTGTTTAAATAAACACCTATCTGCCAATGGGGGAGGTGTTTAAAGACCTTGTTTCGCCTTACTTGCATATGCAGCTATTGCTTTGCCTGTTCAACTGTCTGTAAATGACAGTTTTCTCACTTCTACACTTCCAATTCCCTGTCTTGTTGTGCTAAGGGAAGGTGACTGAGTAGTTGTGTGGCACTTTGCTGTATAGCAGGGTTAAACCACAACACTAGTAAATAAACAGCTGCACTTCACTATACCAGTAGACAAATTCTGGTATGTATAATTTCAGTAACTTCTTAGAGACAGGGTCTTCTCAAAATCTGTAAAATTATTGTGAAGGAGCTGAAGTTCAAAAGTAGTTCATCATAATGACCATAAAATCAAGTGAAGGTGGCAGGAGGACTGCTTGTATAAACAAGGAGCTCCTGATTGGTCTTGAACATAAAAGAGAGGCATAGGAAAGCTGGAATCATGAACAAGTGCCTCAGGAAGATTATAGAGCATTACTTAAACATGCAGGAATATGGTTAGGGAAGTCAAAGGCTACACAGAGTTGTCTCTGACGAGAAATGTGAAAAGCAGCAAGTTTCGTTCCTTGTGGTATATCAGCCATAGAAATAAGATTTCTTTTTTCCAAAATAATATGTGGCCTGCTGCTGAAAGGGGCAGGAGCAGAGGAGGTGGAAAAGGCTGAATTACCGATAGCCTTCTCAGCAGCATGTGGTGGTTAAGAGTTGCACTTGAGAAGAGTGGAAATGTCTTGATGAAGGAAGTAGAGAAGAATCACATCAGAGAACATTTAAATTAGTTTGATAAACACAAAGTCTATGTCTCTAGTGAGACACTTTTGAATGCTGAGGGAGCAGATTGGTGTCATTGCAATGCCAATGTACTATCTTGAAAATGTCATGGCAATTGGAAAAGTGACTGAGTTACTGAGGACTAGAAAAAAGAAAATCCTTCCGTCTCCTCTCTTAAGGAAGGACAGCAAGAAAGATGAAAAGAAAGATCTGGGGAACCACTGCTTGATTATCCTTACTTGGGTCCCTGGGTAAGGAATGGAGCAACTCATTCTGAAAACTATCTCCAAACATTCTAAGGAGAAGAAAGGGGTTAGTCATAGTCAAGCATAGGTTTTTAAAAGCACATTATGCCTGAGCAATGTGATGGCCTTTTATGGTGAGATTACTGGATTGGTGGACAAGACAAGGGGATATTGTGTATCTTGACTTTGACGAGACTTTTGTTTCCAATAACATCCAAATAGATGAATTGATTAATGCAGTCTAGTTAAGTGAAGTGATTTAAAAGGCTGAAATGGTTGTGACCAGTGGCATAAAGCTAGCATCCAGTCACTGGCAGAGTACCCTAGGGGTTAATACTGGATTTTGGATTTCTGGATTAATTTCAATTGACCTCCCATTTAGATACTTAAGTTATATACTGTGATATGTATATCATGATTTTTTTTTTCCTCTGTAAGAATGTTGACAGTAGTGATTTGAGCATAAATCATTCATTTGTGCTGGCACAAAAGTCACACAAGTCTTGCAAGCTTGTCAGTCTGGTAAATATTATTTGTCTCTTTCCTCATCCAAGATTGCTGTATCAGTTTGTTATCTGCAAAACCAAACAAATTACAAGATTTTTTTTAGGGATGTGGTTTGCATAACAGCCTCAGGAAAACTATATGTATATTTGCAAATAAGACGCCTTGGGTCTCTTACTGGGTATTTTCAACTTGGTACGTGGCACTTGGTTCTTCTATAACAGCATTGTCTGCTTTTAAAAATAAACTGTTTGGCACTTACATTTGAGTTTTATCTAAAATTTGAAGAGACCCTAGTAGAACCTAGTAGAGTGGCTGAATGCTGTTACTGTACTAGTCCCTAGTCTGAGCCCTGAAGTACATATTATTTTGCAGGATTTTATTTTTCTGAAACTAGGTAACATGTACCATGTGCCCTGTTTAATCTGTCTTCCAAAGAATTTATGTAGCTGAGACATGTCTTTTAAGTCACAATACTGCATCTGGAAAGGAACATCTCTCCACAGTCCTGCTACTCACAGGAGGTATGAAGACCTCTTTGGGGAAAACCCATGAAAAACAAGTGAAAAGACTTGTGTAATCACAGAAGTATAGTTTAAGGAGTGAGATTTGAACCTATTTTTTGTGATTGATGGCTTTGCTCTGAAAGAAGAGTAGGGTGTGCAGGTTTAAGCTTATTCCAACCAAATATTAGTTCCTGAAGAGAATTAATCCTAGTTTTTGGTATGCTGACTGATTGTTTGTCTATTACAAGATTACAATTGTCATCTATAATATTGCTGGAAAAATGTCTAGAATGACAATAGCTTACTGAATCAAAGAAAAATCATTACAAATTAGTAGCAGTTTAACAAAAAAAACTTGTAATTCTGTGAATTACACTGACTAGTTGTAAGGGAGGAGAATGGAAAGTAAGAGTTATGATTTTTTATGAATGTGGGATTTGAATCAACAATATGAAGGAAATATGGTTTTATGAAGTTATTTTTTATGTCCTTTTCATTTAGGAGAACTTTATTTCAGTATGAATAATTTGTATATAAAATAACTGCGCTCTCTGCTATGACTTAATTTCAGAGACCCCAACCTGCGCTGCAATGTGCGAATGCTGTGCAGCATGGAAACCTGGGTATTACAAGTGCTCTTGCTGCTGAAGGTGGGGTCCTTCCAAGTAATGGTTCTGTTCTTCGAATCGTTGTTGAAAATGTTTTTTGCCCTGTCACTTTAGACATACTTTATCAGGTAATGAGGACTGCTTAAAAAAAGTCACAATCTGTTCCAATGTTGCTACTGTAAATCCATTAATTTTTTTTTTTTTTTTAATACCTGTGTCTCCTGAATCTTCTGAATGAGGACTGTCTCTTTAAAATAATTCCCTGGATTTAGGGATCTAGGATTGAAATAGTTGTATGTAAATGAAATTTAAGTAAACAGGGCTTCAGTACTCAGGTTTTCATGTTGTCTCATTTAGTTCCTTGCTGTGGAAGCGGCAACAAACTTGAATGGTTAATTCTGCTTTCTTGATGAGCTAGTGAAATACTGAATGTTATGAACTAGTGAATCCATATTTTATCACTCTTTCTGCTGAGTAACCTTTGTAGTTTGCTTTATATTTAGGGTTTTATGTTCACTTTTATACCTCAGTGCAAGTGATGTAATATGCAAATTGCTTGTTAAAATCAAATGGTTTTGATTGTTCATCTTTAGAATGTCATTTGACTGCCTCTCTAAACTTAGAATAATGGTAGACTGTATTTATGAAAGACATTGCTATAACTTCTGCTAGGTGTTTGGCCTATGCTGTTGAAAGCTCTAAGTTTAAAAATAATAACTTGAAGACCACTTATTTGCATCCAAAATATTTGTTGATACTTCACAAATATTGCAAGTTTTTCATACTTGAAACTTTTGTAATTGATAGTAATTTATGCAGTAAAAGCCATGCCCCACATATAAGTTTCTTAAGTAATACAACTTAGAATAACTGGGATGATTTTGTAGGAACCTGCAGTCCTGGAAGATTCTTTTCCTGCTCTGCTAAGATCTCAAACAATAGTTGTTTTTAGCAACACTGTTTTTCCTCTTACCTCTTAAAATTTTCTGTTTCTCTTTATCTCCTCACCATGATACTGATTAACTAGTGTACATATTAGTTGCCACTTGGATCTAAACCTTTGTAGGTGTCTTTGAGTGCTGCTCACTCATTACTGAACCTGTGCAAATACTATGTCAGCTGTTTAGGATTATTGCTGCATTCAGAATAACCTCAGAACAAGCTCCTGTGGTTATGGAAGCTGTACTAGTTCTAAGAATGCAAAAGCAAAGAGGAAATTCATATTAATTTACTTTCCTCTGATTTTAGTCTACTTCAGTGCAGCACAACTATATTTTCAGCATTTGAATTGCTCTCAACTACTTTTCCAATATGTCTTGAAAATTTAGCAATATTTGCAAAGGGATCTTATTTGGAGTTCTTAATAGGGGACAGTCTCCTCTAATTAGAGCAGCACTTTGTGCCTGATCTAACTTCCACTTTGTATAGTAAGGTTAATGAAAATGAGTATTTTCACTGGCAAGTACAGCCTCTTATGGAACACTACTAGGCAAGGTGGCAGTCCATACTTGGATTGTATTTTGTAAATTGTCTTGCCTGTCAAAAAATTAATTTTTTAAAATCACAATTTGCCTTAAAATATTTATCATATGAAGCTGAAAATTCAGTGTTATCTTTTCAGAAACAAAGTTGATATATATAGTGTGTTTAGGTTTAAAATGAAACAGGAATGAGTACATTAAATTTCATTACCTTAAAAAGGTCTATTAAGTTTTCTGGATAAGCATATGTTGAGAAGCTGTATTTAGGCATTTCTTAAGAGGAAGTGCTTTATGTACAGGAACTCAAAGACTAATTTTAAGTTGCTCTGAAAAGGTTTTTGTTCTGTTTTCTACAACTAAATGATGACTTCAGCATTAAAATCTTGTTTCTGAGAGATGGAGAAACTGGGTCCAAATGGTTGGGACATTAGTCTTGGCCCTAAGAGGTTGACAAGAGATGCTTATACTTATCTAGGGCCTTTCTTTCCATTGCAGACTTAATATTTCTCAGGGGTTTCTGCTTTCCTGACTTTGCATTGATTCTAACAGTTTGTTTGAAAACTAATAGTACTTCTCAAACTCATCTTTCCTCTGACTGGCCTTTTTTTTCCTGCACTTGCATGATACATCCTGGCTTTACATTTGTCCTCACTCTTTGTGGCATTGCTTTTGTTTAAACCCCTTCATGTAATGCACACTCTCATTTTGAATGTATATATATTTAAATTCAGCCTTTAAAAGTATGTCTGCAATGCTTATGTTTGCAATAAATCAAATACCATTTGATTATACAGTATAGAGGTAGGTTCAAATCTAGGTCTTTGTCTTGCTTCTTTCCTTGTTTTTTTGTTTAGGCAGTGAGTCTTAATAAGCACGTCAATTATTTAAGTTCTGTTTTATTCAACAGATTTGCAGAATTTGTCTAATGTGCAGAACATAAAGGTGGATACCTTGAAATGCAGATTGCAGTTCCCATCTCAACTGACTTCCAGTAACAAGGAATAATATTGATAGAAATAGACAGATCCATCAGGTCAACAGGTGGCTCTGTTGTGTACTTGAATCAATTTTGGGGTTTTTGACCATGGGATAATCTGTTCAACACCTGTTCCACTGATACCTGATGTGATGTACCTTTCTCAGAGGGGAAAAAGGGTTCTAGTGTAGGAAGTAGTGGAGCTTGTTGACAGCTTTAAACTAGCTTGGAACAGGGAAGGGTAATGTGTAGAAGCTAGAGAGCAAGAGGCTAGAGAGCAGCACTGTGGAAAGGGACCTGCACATCCTGGTCAATGGCAAGTTGAAGGTGAATCAGCAGTGCACAAGGTCTGGAAGCGAAGCCTTATGGAGAGTGGCTGAGGGCAGTAGGTCTGTTCAGCCTGGAGGATGCTGAGGGTTTGCAGTTACAGTTTACTCAGAGGGGAAGTGGGAGGAGCAGGTACTAATCTCTTCAGTGTTGTGACCAGTGACAGGACTTGAGGAAATGGCATGAAGCTGAGTTGGGGAATGCTTAAGTTGGATTGGAAAGGGTTTTTCAACCAGAGGGTCTTGGGCTCTGGAACAGGCTTTTCAGGGAAGTGATCGCAGCACCAAGCCTGACAGTTCCAGAAGCCTTTGGACAATGCTGTCAGGCACATGGTGTGACTCTTGGGGTGTCCTGTGCAGAGCTGGGAACTGCACTCAGTTGATGATCCTTGTGGATCCCTTCCAACTCAATGTGTTCTGTGACTCTAAGACTTGTGAAATCCATTTCTCAAACCTCAACTCTGATTCATTATTCACAATTTATCTGCAGACACTTGACAAATGCCTGTTTGGATTGTCCTTCCCTGTTTAGTTGATAAGCCATTACTAATTCTTTAAAAACACTTTATCCATCTTTCCTGTCTTTTGTAGCCTTCCTTTAATTATTTTTTTTACCTGAAAAAAAATTCTGAGTTCACACAATTTTTGTTCAGCTTTCATAACAGAAATATTTTTCAGAAATTTATTTGGAATATTAAATGCTAGCTTTTAGTGTGCATGAATTACTCACTGCTTCTTATAGCCCATTTTTTTTTCCCTAACAGATTTTCTCTAAATTTGGCTTTGTCTTGAAGATTGTCATGTTCCATAAGAACAATCAATTTCAAGCTCTGCTCCAATATGCTGATGCAATGCATGCATATTATGCCAAAATGGTAAGTATAATGTATTCAGCTTGATTTTGTTTGTTTATTGGGGGGTTTTCCTTGCTAAGAGACAGGGGAAGCATTAGGAATATTTTGACTGTTAACTTTGTGATATCTCATCATTCTAACATTTTTGCTGCACATGAATAACTTTGACATCTCTCTTTATTTAAGAGGACTGCACTCTATCATCAACTGCAAACAAATCTATAGCATATACTCCAGGACATGCATGAGTCTGTCAAAATGAAAATAATTGATAATATTCTCTCTCGAGGCTGAAGAGACCCAGCTCCCTTTTACTTTTATTTGTGAAAGAGACGCTCCAATTGCTTAATCATCTTTGTAAGTCTACACTGAACCCATTCCAAGAGCTCCATGTCTCTTTTGGGCTGAGGAGCCCACAGTTGAACACAGCAGTCCAAATGTGGCCTCAGCAGTGCTAAGTAGAGGGACAGGATCACCTCCTTTGACCTGCTGGAAGAGTTCTTTATAATGCATCCCAGGATGCCATTGGCCTTCTTGACCACAAGGACAGATTGCTGGCTCACAGGCATCTTGTGGTCGTGCACAAAGATACACATTCTTTGTAGAGCTGCTTTCCAGTACATCAGGCCCTAATCTATGCTTTGCATTTGCCTTGGCTGAATTTCAGATGGTTCCTCTGTGCCCATCTCTCCAGGCTGCTGAGGTCTCTCTGAAGGGCTGCACAGCCCTCTGGGCTATCGGCCACTGCTCCCAGCTCTGTGTTGTCAGTGAAATTGCTGAGGAGGCCTCTGCCCTTCATCCAAGTCATCTTTAGTTCTCATATAAAGGGAGCAGGAGGTAACTAATAGTCACATGTGTAGAAAAGCTTTAGCAATCCTTTCACGACACCTGTGATTCAAGTCCCAGAGAGGCAGACTGAAAACCTTTTTAGACCAATGATCAGGTCAGCAGATGGGTGCCTCTGCGTTGGCAGGGCATCACCTACAACAATTATGCACCACTTCTGGGTGTTCTTGGGCACAGCATCTGTACACTCTGTTGTTTCACTTGAAGTCATGCCTAGGACTAGGACTTATATTGGAAAAGACCCTAAGGTCATTGAGTCCAATTATAAACCTAATGCTGCCAATTTCACTTCTAAACCATGTCCTGAAGCACAACATCTGCACATTTTTAAATACCTCCAGGGATGGTGACTCCACCACTTGTCTGTTTTAATGCCTTTTGATGAAGAAATTTTTCATGAAATCCAGTCTAAACTCCCCTTGCAGAACTTGAGCCCGTTGTCTCTTGTCATGTCACTTGTTTCATGGGAGAAGAGTCCTAGAGAGCAGTAAGGTCTCTCCTGAGCCTCATTTTCCTCAGGGCAGACAACCCCAGCTCCCTCCAGCACTCCTTATGGTGCTTGTGCTTCAGATCCTACAGTAGAGTCCCTCATGTAAGGGTCAGTTCATGCAGTTAAAATTTCCAAATTAGTGTTCCTATTACCATTTGATATTGTGTGTTGAATGGGAGAGAAGTAAGATTAGAGACATAAGAAGTCAAGTCGTGTTTAAAGCTGTGTTTTGTCCAGGTGACACAAGGTGATATAATACTAACTAGCAAACTACACTAGAAGTTTAGGTAAGCATAGTTACAGCATAATTGCCTACTTGATTTTAAAAAGAGGGTTTAATAGCAGAAGGTGAATTACTGTTTCGATTCAATTGCAAAGTGAAAACTTTATAATGGTGCAGTGGTTTGGATTGGAAGCTACCTTTAAAGGTCATCCAGTCCAATCCCCTGGAGTAGGCAGGGTCACCTTCAGCTATATCAGGTTGCTCAGAGCTCTGTCCAATGGGCATCAGACTCCTCTCAGGGCAACCTGTGCCAATGTTTGGTTACGCTCATTGTAAAAAACTTCTTCTGTATAGCTAATCCAAATCAACCATCCCAGTTTAAAACCATTACCCCTTGTCCGATACCAACCTGCCCTACTAAAAATCTGTCCTGATCTTTCTTATAGACCACCTTCAAGTCCTGAAAGGCTGCAATAATAATATAAACGTACAGTGATGGCTGCCATGATGTGTTTTATCTCTGAAAATGTAATTATTTTTCTTCAGTCTCTGGATGGCCATTGTATCTACACTGGCTGCTGCACTCTGCGTATTGATTTCTCCAAGTTAACTAACCTAACGGTGAAGTACAACAATGACAAAAGTAGAGATTTCACTCGCATTGACCTTCCTTTTGGTGATGGCCAGCGAACCATGGAGGCATCCTTATCTACTCCCTTTGGTAAGAAACCTTCACTTCTAGTGCTAAATACACACTGAGATCATAATTTTTATGTTACATTTATGCTTTGGCTTCCTATCAGGTGCGTAGAGGGGTACATTTGGCATACATTTTTATTTTCTACATCCAGTGAAATTCTTATGGAAAGCTTGAAGTTGAAGTCTTGGTAAATCAGTATCTGAAACAATAATATGAGGAACGCTAGTGGGCAAATTTTAAAGTGTTGTAAAAAAGCTACGAAATACTACTAAAATGCTGTAAAACTGTATAATTGGTACAGGTAATGTAGTAAATATTGCGTGTCAGAATGGAAGTCATCACAAACTGACACTGGCTGCCTAAAGCTGCTTGAAAATAAGTGTTTTAAGGGTATTAGCTCCTATTTGTTGATATTTTAGGATAATTGAGTGCTTCAAGAAACAAAACTGTAAGAAAATCCAAAATGCTATACTTATATACTTGCCTTTTAAAATATAAAATTTAAGAAATTTTCTTAAATTTTAGAAGTCATTTTGGGATAGAGAAGACAGTGTCTGCTTGAAGTGAAACTGGAGAAATGCTCACAACACAATTTGAGCGATTTTAGCTAATTTTCTCTCTCTCTAATAACAACTATTAGCAATATTACACAGCGAAGAACTGACTTAGCTGTTGAATAGGTATCTAAGTGCTGTCCAATTGACTATCACGGTGAAAAGTGGGGAGAGTAACTCCCTATTTTCCTTTACTTTTCTGTGGCAACTAGGACAAATACTGGGTTTCGTTTGATTTTTTTGGATAGTTGAGTTAGCTTGGATTAGAATAAGAAAGTGAGTTGCACTTGCTACTTTCTTGATTTTTGTCTTTACTGCTCCCCTTAAATGCAGGCCTTGGATCTTTAGGGAATGGACAAATGTCATTACAGGGTGGGGAGAGGAGGATGGTGGAAGTTGCCATGCAGCATTATAGAAATGTGCTATTACAAGTTTAATATATTCTAATTAATTAGACTTGCACTATTTGAAATGTAAGTGGAAGGGAAAAGTACAATTAGAGTAGCTTATTTCTGCACTTGCTTGTAGGGCAGAAATAACGATGCTTTTGGAGAATAACACATGAACACTTCTCCCTATCTTCCTCCTCACTCTCCAAACTTCTCATTGCTAGGAGCCTTGTTTTCTTTTACTGTAAGAGTAAGAAGTGCTGGAATAGTTTGATGTCTGTACCAAAATTTGTCTGTGGTACATTCATAGTGAAGCAGCTGCACATTTATTAAAAAAACCAGTAAAAAATAGCTGTAAATGGGGAGAAGTTTGCTTCCTAGCTTTTCTGTCAGTGATGACAATATGCACATATTGTCATTGGCTTGTTCTGTGAAGCTTAGTTACAGAACATGAGGAAAAGATGTTCTAAGTCATGTGACTACCTTCACTACTTCCTATTACTAGTGGATGTAGTTTTGATGTAAAATTATAAGACAAAGCTGGTAACTGTCAGAATAATACATCTGGTTTTTATTGTAGGCTTGAAATTATCTTAATAGCAAAACTAAACTGTTCTTGAAACTTGTTTTTCTTCTTCTTTCTTTAATTTTCTTATGCTTTCTGTGGAAAAGATACTGCACTATAAACAGATTTTGTGCATATTCTTCATTTAAAGAGTTCTTGCATCCAGTGAGCAGAAATACCTGCGTTGGCTTGCTTAGAAAGCTAGGCTGATAGCCATGAAGCAAATGAATTAAAAACAAAAAAAGGCAACAAAGAATTCTAGATCTTTCTGTATTAGCTCAGTTTGACAATTTTTATATGCCAGATTTTGGTATCAAGGTGCAACATGCAGGTCTTATTTGGCAGAATAAAAGTTCTTGGTCTATTTATTTATTAATGTTTCCATTGCAATTCTTGGATTGTGAGTAAGTGTTTCATAACTATATTGTCAGAACTTGTCAGTATAATTTCAAAAATGTGTTTACTTGCTTTAGTGTCATAAAGGTGTTCAGTTTTTTGTATGAAAGATTCTGTGGCAAAAAAAGTTAAGAAGAGGTGTAGTGATGCAGTATTCATGGGTACTTGATCTGTGGTGTCTGTTACATTCCTTTTTGTAATTCATAATAGATACTTTTTTTGGTATTGTGTTATCCCTATTGATAATCATTTATTAGTAGCTATATTTTAGTCAGTAGTGTGGAGGTTTGAGTAGTAAAACAGACATATTATCAAGCTTGTAGAATGTTTTCTAATTATACATGCCCCATTTGAAAAAATTAAAATCTGGTGTGTCCTTACATATGAACGAATCCACAGCTCAAACTTGTATTTAAATGCTTAGAATACAGCTTTGTGAGCTACCCTGAGTAGCACTTGACTCCACATACTAACGTGGAAATAACTGAGCTATCTTTGATGCTGGAACTCTCCATATGTTGCTATTTCAAATCTGGTTAATACATGCGATTTCCAGGGGAACTATAAAAAACACTGGTTATGTATGAAGTTACACAAACTGAGAAAGTGCATCTCCTTAAAAAGCAGAATATATATGTTTTATGCGTTTCAGCAGCTAGTAAAATTCAGAACCTCAGATTAGTTGTAGAAGTTTGTATTGTTTTGCTTATACTGATCTTAGTGTTCAGGAGTTGTAGCTCATTGCAAAACACCTTTGACTGTATTTAGTTGCAGAAAATTTCTAGAATACATGTCCATTGTGTGAATAGAAACCATTGAACACAGGCTTTAATGGATACTAGTCTCTGCTGTATGGATACTAGTCTCTATACAAACTTATCTAATTTACATTTTGCCCAGACTTCATTTTAGAGAGGAATGTTGAGGCTGACCCGAATATTTGCTTTCAAAAATGGCTGAAAATTGTCTTTGTGCAACATAGAATCTTGGATTTCAATGAGAGCTTTAACCCAAAAGTTTTATAAACATCTGGAATCACATATAAAGTCCAAATAGCAATACTGGTAGCTGATTCTGATTGCTGAAATCTCTTCTGTTTTCTAAAACTTTTAAAATCTGCTTTAAAAAAATCTATCTGTTCTCTCTAGCTACCCAAAATACCATATTTCCATCATATACAGGGCCTCCTGGGTTTGCCCCAGCCTTGGGCTTTCCTCCGGGAGCAGGTAAGTTTGTTTTCTAAAAATGTGGTGTTTGTAGTTATGGATAGTGGCCTACCTGAATACATCCATTCAGAGCCATTTGTTTTAAAATATAGCGATCAGAACAAAGTATTAATTTGAGTAATTGTAGCTCTTTCTCATATATATACTCAGTAAAATAAATTTCTGTAATAAAAATCATATCCTGATGTAGTTTATCATTCAATAGGCAAAGAATCTAAATGCCATGATAAAAATTACCTACAAGAGAAGAAATTAAGCATTTATTTTTTTCTCAGAATCATAAAACTGCTATGACATTCAATGCAAAATGAGGGAAGTCTCTGCTTTTCTAGCTATCAAGAGATAAATACATACTTTTTTAGACTGTGATCTTTCCCTTTCTAGCACAGGATAAACTTATCTGCTGAATTATTTTTTTTCTTTCTTGGGCTGCAATTTATGTCCCCTTTTATTTTGGTCTATTTGTATAGCTGAATGTTTCTTTTTTCTATGAAAGGGAGGTGCATCCTGCTTTATTGTTCAGATACTAGTAATAACTAAATTCCTTAAAATAAGTTTTAAATTGGATATTGATGTTTTTGCCAAATATAACCTGCTTGTGTATTCTTCCTTCCCACTTTGAGATGTCAAGTGATGCTATTTATACCTTTCCAGGTCCTTCTGTTCTGCCTGTTCCTGGAGCACTTGGTCCTTTCACAGTCACCGCATCAGCAGCACCTGGACACATGACTATTCCTGGTATTCCAGGAAACTCCGTTTTACTAGTCAGCAACCTCAACCCTGAAGTAAGTTTGATTGGTGGAACTGATGTAAGTGTCACCTTGTACCAACTGCCAGAATCCTTGAAAACTGACATTAGCTGAAGGAATAAGAAAAATTCTCTATGCTGATAATATAAAAAACAGGACACATCTATACTTGTTTTAGGTAGCTAGCAATATTGGTGAGGTTTAAAAACTCTCATCATCAGTGAAAAGCTTTCTAACACAGTTTACTTTAGGAACCCTATGTTAGCAGTGTAGCTAGTAATTAGAGAGAAGCCTGTTGTCAACTGTAAGAAATGTTTGAAGATGTAAACAACATACATATGATAATTTATTGATTTCTCTGTGTGCTTTTTTATCTGTAAAGAAGGCAAAGGGTTTTTCCTTACATTGGTTAAAAAACAAGGAATTAAATGGAAAGGAGGAAACAGAAATGGAAATAAAAGCATGCCAAATGCTTTTCTAAATATGTGTAGGATCTTTCTGGTTTTGCAACTTTTTTGAGATTGAAGTAAAAGAACATGGATACATCATATTATTAACTTTTAAAATTAAATGTAGAATGATGTCAATAAGTACCCATGTTCACTTTTCATGGTACCACACAGATGATTTTTCATATGGTGGCAGTAAAATTACCAAGGACAACTTGGAGAGTTATTTTTGTGGTGGAAATGACATAGGCTGGTCTATAATCTTCCTCATGTTATTTGAACACTAATCTGTTCTTAATTAAAAGCAATATACATCATCTTAAAATAAATTAAACAGGCTTTACCAGGGCCTGATTTAAAACATGATTCTTTTTGACTATTGATAAGCAGTCCTGTTGCAGCAATGTACAATTCTTGTTGCACACACTCCAGACATTTCCTTAACTGTAAAACTGTTAGGAGTTGTCAGCAAAATTGAAGTTCCCTTGAAATTCTGAGGTTTAAAAATCTGTTCACCAGTTTCTTTTAAGTAATTGCTGTGTTTCTGTTTTCATACTAAAACAGCCAAATTCACAGTAAGCATCCAAAACCCAGATGTACACAGGGCTGTAAGACAAGTCACTTTTTCTTTAATTTTATAATATATCAGTGAGTTTCTGATGATGGCTGCAGATGTACTTTCTGCAGCTGACTATTTATTTTCTGAATCTAAAAGGAGAGTGCCTCTTAAAAATAAGCATATGTAAAGCATAGGTCAGAGCTCTTTTTAGGACATTGATGCTTTACTTAGTACGAATCACAGCTAAGAATTAATGTACAACTTAGTGCTGTAATGCATGATACAATATCAATGTATTAAGTAATGCCCTCCTTCTTAAAAGGATAAAAATAAGAATATACTACAGCATTAATTATTGGAAATAAATTTCTTGGCAGTTCTGTAGCACTTGTTCTTCAGTATTTGTTGTCTGACCCCTGTCACTCCTTTTTCTTTGTATAGAAAATCTGGTTGACCTTATTTCAGTTCATATTTCTCTCCTGTTGCAGAATTTCAGTGTGCATTTTAATATTCCTTCATGACTTTTAAATTATCTGGTTTTGTCTTCCATTCTCCTCCCCCCTCCTTCATTTTAAGTAGAAATATTTCAGTCTCATTTGAATAAGAAATTTCTATTTAAAAACAGAAATCTCCATCCTGAATTTAAATATTTGAGTCAGAAGAAAAAATTCTATATGAATTTAAATATTTGGGCCAGAAAAAAAAAAATTCTTGATGAATTTAGATTTTACATTGATAGCAATTGTTCTCTACCACTAAATGCTGAAGGTAAATGGGTATGGCCTTGTGCTTAGGCTGCAATATCCTCTTTTTTGGATAATTTCGGTATGTTTGGTACACATTTAAGAGAAGAAATAGGGCTAGAGAGTGTGAGTAGTGCTTTTGATATGCAGGTGTTTTTAGAACTCATTACTGGCAAAACCTTTGCCTCAGCTGAAAAATTTTGGCTGCATTAGATGGCAAATTTTCTTCTTTAGTACTTGGCATACAAGATTTGTATTGAGAATTGCTGAAGAGAAATTTCTTTCAATATTTACCTTTCTATTCACAGCTTCTAATTTAATACAATTTAAATGCCTCTTTCTATATGCTTAATACACGAACAGCTAAATTCTCTGTGTCTCCCTTTAGAATGTCATGGCCATGTAGGGGGATGGACAAAAAATTTAAGACAAAGCAACACATTTTAAACGACTGGGTTTAGTTTTGTTGTTATTGTCTGTTGTTTACAAAATACAAAGAGTTCTTTAATGCTTTATTTGTAATTTAACCAATGTCTTTCATTCTTTTCATCGAATGTGAGGGGAGCTTAGAAAGGATAAGGTCAAATAATGAAGCTACTTAAAATATTAATAGCTTCTGCAGCATGATAGAATGAGTCTCGAGTGATGAAAATGCATGAGCTAAAGTGTTTCCTTGTTTACATATTCTACATGTGCATAGCAAATGTGTATTAACAAGAGTGCCATACACTGTGAGTATTTCAAGGAATAGCTTTTGGAGAGACAGGTTTATGTATTATTTTGCAGCATCTCTTCCATTCTTTTTGTTTACCATGCACTTATAGAATAGATGTCTTCATTTGCATGGCTTTAGAATTAATGTATTCATTTTATCATTTAAACAGGCCATCACACCTTATGGACTTTTCATCCTGTTTGGTAAGATATGTCAAATATACCTTGACAAACCACAGCAGGGCTAGTGGTTCTCTTTTTCAATCTGACCCATGCTAGTTAATTCAAACTCCATTGCTCTGTGCACATCCAGGAAATGCACTGGTTTTAAAATGGCAGTAAATAGAGTCATTACATAAAAGTCACGTATACCAAAATGGCAAAACAGTGTCAGAAGAATTTTGGTGTGTGGTCCAATTTGTTTACTACATAAAATGGGAAAGCAAAGTAAGATGTAAAAACAGAGGTTGTATCAGAGGAAATGCTGTACAGAATTGGTTCATACATTAGTTGCAGGGGACAGTGTTGGTTAGAGTAATATTTTAATATGCCTCAGTTAAGAGGACTTTGACAACTATTGCACTATTTAAAAACTGAACATAAACATGCAGTAGTGTGACTGGGATCTGGGGAATTTCCCTCCACTTACGAGCCCCAGAATATAATAAACTTTAAAACTCTCCTTATACTAATATTTTAACCAGCCTGTTTAATGAGGTATTATTCTTTTTAACACTAATGTTAGTCAAAAGAAACAGACTTGGCCTTGTGCTTTAATTAGTAGTGCTCTGAAAAACATTTTGTTTCTGGATTTCCACAGGTGTGTATGGTGACGTGCATCGTGTGAAAATCATGTTTAAGAAAAGAGGAATTGCTTTGGTTCAGATGGCAGATGCAACCCAAGCTCAATTAGGTATTGATTTTTAAGGCAGAGTTATACTTCAAGCTAACATTACTTTAATATAAAGGAGGAATTTTTCGTCTGTCAGTGACAAGCATAAACAAATAAAATTCATCATTGTGCTGCATTACTACATGCAAACTTTGATAATGCTCTTAGTGGTTGTAAAAAAAAAAACTCCTATGACTCTCAATATAGTAAATAATAGAACTAAAACATACAACTCTCCTGTCATTTATTTTAATAATACATTGCATTGTTGTCTTGTAATTTATCTTATATCTACCTATTTAAGAATGAACAAGTTATCTGTATTGAAAGGCTGTTTGCATTTTTTTTTGTATTTGAACTGGAGATTATATTATTCCTTATACTTTTTAAAAATCTAATGTTGTGAGATAGCCCACCTGGTAGATGTGGAAGTTGCAGTTTAAATTTAGAATGTGAAATCTGACACTAAGTAGAAAACAGTATACAAAGAATTGTCTTTTCTTCCCCTCCATTAATTCCTGTTCAAATTACATTTACACTTGTTAGCTATCAACTACTTGAATGGACAGAGGCTTTATGGAAGGGTCATGCATGCTACTCTTTCAAAATATCAGACAATTCAACTTCCTCGTGAGGGACAAGAGGACAAAGGTCTGACAAAGGACTATAGCAATAGCCCTTTACATCGCTTTAAGAATCCCTGCTCTAAGAATTTCCAAAATATCTTTCCTCCATCTGCAACCTTGCATCTGTCCAACATCCCGTGAGTATCTGCATGTGCCATCTTCTTGGAAAGACATTTTTTAGGTGGTGTTGTGAAGTTAAAAAGTCTAACATAAGTTTTGGTTTTCTTTCCTTGGCCTTTTACAATTCATTCTGCTGTGGGTCGTTCTGGTATTAGCAATTGTTATTAGCAATAAGTGAATCCTTTAACTGTCCCATTTTTATCATTAGCAAAGAGGATAACTGAAGGAATTATCTTCTTTGAGTTTTGATCAATTTATATTTTCTTTTCATATATTTTATATGCTTTTGGTTTTTGATATATTAAATCATGTGTCACAAATTTTCACAAAGGTTAAAGACTTGTTTTTTGAGGTAATGTAGATGACATCAAATTCATCATGGACATTGTTAATGAACATAGATACAGTGTTTAATAATTGTCCTGGTTCAGGGCAAATTTGGGAGAGAACCCCCAGAGAGGCTTCTCTAGGAAAGCAGATTCAGTCGGCCCCTCCTCCCGACTGGTCTGGGAGAAAATACCTCCTTGGAGAAAAGTGGAAAAAACCTGTTTATTAAACAATAAAACCTAAACAGTATTAATCAGTAAAACCCCTTGCTGGTCCAAAAGAGATGACAAACTGAGAAAGTCCCTCCCCGGGTTGCAGCTCAGCTCACTCAGTCTCTGGTCAGTCCCTCAGGTGCTGGAAGTGCTGCGGCCCAGGCCCGGCCTGGTGGGCCCCAGGTGTGAGCTGCCAGTGCTCTGCTGGGTGTTCAGTCCAGAGCAGGTGTAAACAGCTCCAGAGAAAAGGAAAAAAACCACAGTCCAGGGAACTTCTTTGCCTCAGCTAGCTGACACTAACTAAAAGCAAAGGAGAGCTCTGTCCCGCTGTCTGTCCATCCGCAGACAACACAGCCAGGAGCTGGGATGTGGAGGAGTGAGTGCAGTGTCTGAAAACAAACTGCTGCTTCTTCTCTCCCCCCTTCACTCTCTGGAACAAGTCTTAAAGGTGCAAAACTTATTATTCAGCATAAAGAGAACAAGAGAATTGGGGATGAAAGCATCATATAGTCAACCTAGGACATTCCAGCCCTTATCCCCATATCGTCAGCTTACTGCTAAAACTAATACATATTCTAACTCTACAAACACATACATTATACATCTAATGTACAGCTATACACAGACAATGGTAGTAACATTCAGCAAACAGTGATATTTACACATAGGTCTCACCCAACAATCAGATGTTCCTGAGGTACACTTCCTGTTCTTCCAACTTTTTGCATTATCCACCATGTGCAACCTGGTCCCTGAGCAAAAACAACCCCACAAATGAGTTTTTCTGTATTTGAGGCAGAATTAATTCAAACTGTCTTCCCTAATAAACCTCTGCCATGCACCACTGGGACTTTGTCTCCATCTACTCTGTGCAAAGGCTCAGATTGGGCAGGGCCCACTCGGTTAGTAGAGCCTCGGCTGTTAACTAACCAGGTGGCTTTTGACAGATGCTGCTCCCAGTTTTTGAAAGATCCCCCAACTAATGCTTTCAATGTGGTTTTTAACAGTCTGTTGTACCTCTCCACTTTTCCTGCAGCTGGTGCATGGTAGGGGATATGGTACACCCACTCAATGCCATGCTCCCTAGCCCAGGTGTTGATAAGGCTGTTCTTGAAATGAGTCCCATTGTCTGACTCAATCCTCTCAGGGGTGCCATGTCTCCACAGAACTTGCTTTTCAAGGCCCAGGATGGTGTTCTGGGCTGTAGCATGAGACACAGGGTAGGTTTCCAACCATCCAGTGGTGGCTTCCACCATGGTCAGCACGTAGCGCTAGCCCTGGCGTGTCTGGGGCAGTGTGATGTAGTTAATCTGCCAGGCCTCCCCATACTTGTACTTGGACCACCGCCCACCGTACCACAGGGGCTTCACTCGCTTGGCCTGCTTGATGGCAGCACACGTCTCACAGTCATGGATAACCTGAGAAATACTGTCCATGGTTAGATCCACCCCTCGGTCTCGTGCCCACTTAGAGGTGGCATCTCTGCCCTGGTGGCCTGAGGCATCATGGGCCCATCGAGCTAGGAATAACTCTCCTTAATGTTGCCAATCTAAGTCTATCTTTGACACCTCTATCTTTGCAGCTTGGTCTACCTGCTCATTGTTTTGGTGCTCCTCATTGGCTCTACTCTTGGGGACATGGGCATCTACATGGTGGACCTTCACAGGTAGCCATCCCCACAGTGCGTTGGCTACCATCCATGTGCAGAGGTAGAGGTTTGGCCACTTCTCTCTCAGCAATGTCCAGGGCCTGTTGAACAGCTTTGAGTTCAGCAAGTTGGCTTGATCCACCTTCTCCTTCAGTGGCCTCTGCCACCTGTCGCGTGGGGCTCCATACAGCTGCTTTCCACTTCTGGTTCATTCCCACAATGCGGCACGAACCATCAGTAAAGAGAGCATATCGTGTATCTTCTGCTGGCAGTTGGTTGTATGGTGGAGCTTCTTCAGCCTGTGTCACTTCTTGTTCCCCTTCATCAGAGAGACCAAAGTTTTCACCTTCCGGCCAGTTTGTAATTATTTCCAGAATCCTAGGGCGAGTTTTCCCATACGGGCGCGCTGTGTGATAACAGCAATCCATTTGCTCCATGTAGCACTGGTGGCATGGTGCGTAGAGGGAACCTTCGCTTTGAACATCCACCCCGATACTGGTAGTCGGGGTGCCAGGAGGAGTTGTGCTTCAGTGCCTATTACCTCTGAGGCAGCCTGAACTCCTTCATAGGCAGCCAGGATTTCTTTCTCTGTTGGAGTATAGTTGGCTTCAGACCCTCTGTAGCTTTGACTCCAAAATTCCAGTGGTCGACCCCGAGTCTCCCCAGGCACCTTCTGCCAAAGGCTCCAGGACAAGCCATGGTTCCCGGCTGCAGAGTAGAGCACGTTCTTCACCTCTGGTCCTGTCCTGGCTGGGCCAAGGGCTACTGCATGAGCAATCTCCTGCTTGATCTGGGTGAAGGCTTGTTGCTGCTCTGGGACCCAGTGGAAATTGTTCTTCTTATAGGTGACCAGGTAGAGAGGGCTCACAATTTGACTGTGCTCAGGAATATGCATTCTCCAAAAGCCTATGGCGCCTAGGAAAGCTTGTGTTTCCTTCTTGCTGGATGGTGGAGACATTGCTGTGATCTTGTTGATGACATTGGTGGGAATCTGATGCCATTGATCTTGCCACTTCACTCCCAGAAACTGGATCTCTTGAGCAGGTCCCTTGACTTTGTTCTTCTTGATGGCGAAGCCGGCTTTCAGGAGAATCTGGATGATTTTCTCCCCTTTCTCAAACACTTCTGCTGCCGTCTTCCCCCACACAATGATGTCATCAACATACTGCAGGTGTTCTGGACCCTCACCCCTTTCTAGTGCAGTCTGGATCAGTCCATGGCAGATGGTGGGGCTGTGCTTCCACCCCTGGGGCAGTCGGTTCCAGGTGTACTGCACTCCCCTCCATGTGAAGGCAAACTGAGGCCTGCATTCTGCTGCCAGAGGAATGGAGAAAAATGCATTGGCAATGTCTATAGTGGCGTACCACCTTGCTGCCTTGGACTCAAGCTCGTACTGGAGTTGTAGCATGTCTGGCACAGCAGTGCTCAGCAGTGGAGTCACTTCATTCAATGCACGGTAGTCCACAGTCAATCTCCATTCTCCTTCAGATTTACGCACAGGCCAAATGGGGCTCTTGAAGGGTGAGTGGGTCTTGCTGACCACCCCCTGGCTCTCCAGCTCACAGATCATTTTGTGGATGGGGATCACAGCATCTTGATTCGTTCAGTACTGTCGGCGGTGCACTGTTGAGGTGGCAATTGGCACTCATTGCTCTTCCACCTTCAGGAGACCTACTGCAGATGGGCTTTCTGACAGTCCAGGCAAGCTGTTCAACTGCTTGACACCCTCTGTCTCTACAGCAGCTATTCCAAATGCCCATCTGAGTCCCTTTGGGTCTTTGAAACACTCACTTTGGAGGAAGTCTATGCCTAAAATGCATGGGGCATCTGGGCCAGTCACAATAGGCTGTTTCTTCCACTCATTTCCAGTCAGGCTCACCTCAGCTTCCACCAAAGTAAAATCCTGTGATCCCCCTGTCACACCAGCATTTGAAACAGATTCTGTCCCACATCTTGATGGGATTAATGTGCATTGTGCACCAGTGTCAACCAAAGCTTTGTACTCTTGCGGTTCAGATGTGCCCGGCTAACGAATCCACACAGTCCAAAATCACGGTTTTCCCCGGCCTCTACCTGGCTAGAGGCAGGGGCCCTCTAAGCCTGGTTATCCTTCTTTCCCTGGGCATATATCTTGGAGGTTCCTTCAAGAGGATTGAAAATATTGTCATTATCATCATATGTGAGAGTTCGGTTACTGGCCGCTGGAGCTGCTTCCCTTTTGGAACTTCCTCTGTGAGTCTTCACACACCCATTGTGCCAGAGCAGCGGTAGGTTTTCTATGCCATCTCCCCATGTCTTCTCCACAATCACGCAGGTAGAACCACAGCTCAGCTCGTGGGATGTACTTTCTCTCGCCATCGGGAGAACGTCTGCGTTGGGTACCAGAACCTCTGATCTGTACTGCTGAGATTTGGAGAAAGCCCTCTTTAATCTCCTCCCTCAGTTTCTTGTGGCTCTCTTCCATCTTGTCTTCTAATTTCTTCAGACGTGTTTCCACCACTGCGATTCTGGGATGTGTTGGGCCATGTACAGCATCTGCATATGCTCAGAGCTTCTTTGCCATATCCAGCACAGTTTCCTCACTGTCATCCTGCTTCATTATTGCTAAAGCAGAAGCGTATTCTCGTGGCCCAAGTCATAAAGTTTTCTCCACATCACAGATGTGCATGGTACCAAGTCTGGATTTACAGTGTTTCCCTCATCTGAGAAGACAATCTCAGCTACTGCCATTTCTCTCAAGCGTTGAATCCCTTGTTCTATGGTTTTCCACTGGGTTTGCTGCATATAGAGATCGTCTGCGCACAGGTATCTTTGTGCTACACTTCTTAGGACCCGTTCCCAGAGGCTGTGAGAGTTAGCCCCCCTCATCGTTCCTTGGTCTATGACAGTATCCTGTGACAGGGATCCCAAATGCCTGGCTTCAGTGCCATCCAGAATTGTAGCCTCGCCTGCAGCGTCCCAGAGACGGACCAGCCAACTAATTATGGATTCATCAGACCTTCGAGTGTAATCCTTCCGTAGGCCATGAAGGTCCTTCAGGGAAAAGGACTCAATAGTGGCTTCTGATGCTGTGTCAGTTGTGTTAACTTTGGCTTTTGTGTCAGTAAGTGGTGTTGAGGGTCCTTCCCCTGGATCATCGTCGTCGGTCACTGGCCGATTGGTTTTGCTTGTGGTTTTTTTTCCTGCAGCAACTGCCAGTGGCTTAGGCTCACTGTCTGGTTTAGCTCCAGCCTGAGTGGCTGAGGTGTTGGCTGCAGTCTGAGTGACTGTGGTAGCTGCTGCTTTATCTCCCTGCCCCCCTGCTTCTGTCTGCTGCCTGACAGTATCTAACAAAGTGCGATAAGCATAGGCCAGGGCCCAGCTTATTGCAATCAGCCTTTTCTCTTTAGAGTCATCATGGCACTTCTCTTTCAGGTATTTCCCCACCTCAGCTGGGTTCTGAATTTGTTCACTGAAAAATCCCAGTCTGGAGGATCAGAAAATTCCTTCAGAGTTTGGCCTATATTTTCCCATTTTCCACACCACTCAGGGTTTTCCATGCCTGCGTCTGCTTCTGGGTCAGGGGTCTCACCAGCTCCTCTGGATATCTCAGCCCTTATTCTAGAGAAGCTGCAGACCATATAGAGGAAGGTTACCAGATTAAATACCAGAAATATGGTCTCTTTAACATTCAGGGGAAACTGAACATTCTCAAAAAGTGACATGACAGATTCAAAGGAGAAGGAAAGGAAAGACTGGAAAGCCTCATTCCCTGCTCCTCCTCTAACAAACTGGGTGCCATTACTAATAAATTCCTAAAACATACTACTGGAACTAGGATGCAGGGTAGGACAAAGAAACCATAAACTATATATATCCTAAACAGACTCCAGCATCTTTGTAAATGCCCTATAAATCATTATCACCAAGGCCAGCACGATAGCTATTCCAATCTGTGCCCCTCTACTGTAAAAATTACATGTTAGGGACAATAATCCTAGTGATCAGAAAGGTATTGAAACCTCAAAAAGGTCTAGAGACTAGGACCACATGAAGGTCTCCACCCTAGAGACATTAGGAATTCACGCAACATGACTACTGACTGCTTTAACTCACTACAGAGCAGGCACAACCAACATGCAATCAATAGAGCTTTTTTCCATGTTCTCAAGCCACTCATTGGGTGCCAATAGATGTATTTGTCCTGGTTCAGGGCAAATTTGGGAGAGAACCCCCGGAGAGGCTTCTCTAGGAAAGCAGATTCAGTCAGCCCCTCCCGCCCTGACCAGTCCAGGATAAAATACCTCCTTGGAGAAAAGTGGAAAAAACCTGTTTATTAAACAATAAAACCTAAACAGTATTAATCAGTAAAACCCCTTGCTGGTCCAAAAGAGATGACAAACTGAGGAAGTCCCTCCCCGGGTTGCAGCTCAGCTCACTCAGTCTCTGGTCAGTCCCTCAGGTGCTGGAAGTGCTGCGGCCCAGGCCCGGCCCGGTGGGCCCCAGGTGTGAGCTGCCAGTGCTCTGCTGGGTGTTCAGTCCAGAGCAGGTTTAAACAGCTCCAGAGAAAAGGAAAAAAACCACAGTCCAGGGAACTTCTTTGCCTCAGCTAGCTGACACTAACTAAAAGCAAAGGAGAGCTCTGTCCCACTGTTTGTCCATCCGCAGACAACACAGCCAGGAGCTGGGATGTGGAGGAGTGAGTGCAGTGTCTGAAAACAAACTGCTGCTTCTTCTCTCCCCCCTTCACTCTCTGGAACAAGTCTTAAAGGTGCAAAACTTATTATTCAGCATAAAGAGAACAAGAGAATTGGGGATGAAAGCATCATATAGTCAACCTAGGACAATAATTCTAGCACTTTTTAAAGAACAGTTTCTACAGAATTTAGATCTCTTACATGGAGGGCATGTGAGAAAGTAAAAAAGTGAGAAAGAATTTAGTGTGCTCTTTAAGACTGAAATAATCTTTTTTATGTCTAGAATATTATCAGTAGTGTGTGGACTAACAGCCAGACATAGGTTTTACAGGCTTCTCTTGTTTGGCAGCTGTGCAGGGAAGAAAAAAGGAAATTATGGAATTTTGCCACAGTAAGAAAATAAATTATAAGACACTTTGAAAACAGCTTTTTGAGTAAAATGAAAATATTTCAAAATTGAACATATGTGACGTGCACTTGCACAAATTGCAAGATGAAATGTGTTCCTTAAGATTTTCAGGAGATTTTTATGCAATCTGAATTTTACTGACAAAGAAACAGGATTGGATGAAAGACAATAGAGTGTCTAAAATATTTTTGTAGCACAATGTGATACTAAAATATAGAGTAAATGCAAGTGTTTTGAGCTGAAGTGTTTAAATTGATGGAGGTACATTTAAACAGCAAAAACTAGTTTAGAAGCCAAAATTGAGATCTTGATGTTATTTCAGAACTCTGTTCTCTTCTACAAGTTGAGGGGAGATTGTTTTTGTTTTGTTTGTTTTTTGTTGTTTTCAATTAGGCCTTCTGTTACTGTTGATGATTTGAAGAACCTTTTTACAAGTAAAGGATCTACTGTGAAAGGCTTCAAATTTTTCCAGTAAGTTCTCTTGCAAAATTGCTAAGCAAGCTTTCATCCTAGAAAATAGCTAATTGCTTTTTTGTGACTTTATATGTGTATACAACTACAGGCAAAATTCTATGTACATATAGGTATAGTCAAAAGTGGTACATCTATCACAATTTTTATGATACTTTGTCTTAAAATTTTAAATGGAATACTGGGTTAGCATAACTAAACTGAAAATATGCATCCTTTTGACAAACTCCATGTATGTTCAAAGTAAAACAAGTTCAAGGAAAGTAAATGCTCACTTCTTGAAAAAACACAAGCTTTGTGTAAAATGCCATATAAAAATGACAGTGATGACAATGTATCTACATTAATTAAAGTTAGTTGTCAGCATTATTTTAGCACAATCATGCTTGCTAGAATAATCCCATATACATAGATAATGCAAGTATTTCTTAGGGGTCTTTAAGCCTTATTTTGACCTAGCTTTTTGAAGTCTGGTGTAATGAAAGAATGACATTACTTTAGCCATAGATTAAGCCATAGATTCACAGAATTTATGGGGTTTTTTTTCTCTTTTCATTTTGGCAGATGCATAAATAGCTCTGATTCTTTTGCTGTACAACTGTGTGTAATATAGCTGAGGAAAAAAACCCCACTTATGCCACTTTTCTGTGTTGGCTAGTGAAAATTTGGTTAGGATTAATAATAGTTTTTATTGTTCTTCAGGAAAGATTGCAAAATGGCTCTTATCCAGCTGGGCTCTGTGGAAGAAGCAGTTCACGCTCTCATTGAGCTTCACAATCATGACTTTGGAGAAAACCAACATCTCAGAGTTTCCTTCTCAAAATCTTCAATCTGAATTTTCTGTGAATTTTCCCTTTAAGGCTGCATAATGGTTTTAGTAAAATCTTCAAACAGAGACTGAGACAGCTCTGACCAACTCTGTCTCTTAAAAGAAAAACCTCATTCATACACAAAGAATTAAGTGATTATTTTTTCTGATTCTAGCTGCAGTTATGTCATCCATAGAAAGATCTTTTGTGAAATCATTTTAGCAACAATATTTATCATCAAATTTCCTACTTAAAATTATGTTTTGAGACCATCCTTTCAGCTTTTGTTTGAAATCAGCCTTACAAAACAATTTTGAGTGCTTTTACAATGTACCAAATGAGTATGTTTAATGAAAAAGTAAACCTACTCTGTGCAGATTTCACATTAATTTGAATGTGGAATAGTGCTTGGGTTTCTTGAAGAAAAGCAAACAATAACTGTGAGTATCCTCTAAATAGTATTTATGTTACCAAGGTGTGTGTTCATACTTTGGTGAATCTTTACAAATAACTTGTTTATAAAAAGAAAAAGTCTGTGCTGTTCTTATAGATTAAATTATTAGAGAAAAGGCAGTGCCTTCTCTCTGTGGAATAAAAGTATTTGACAAGTTTCTTCAAGGTGTGGTATTGGAAAATTAGTTTGACTTGACTCTGGGTTGGAAGTTTGATGTCCTATTTCTACTATGAAGGGATGTGTAACAGTACATTGGAGAAAATAAAACAAGAAAATGGTCTTGATTTTAAATATTTTTTTTTACATTTCTCTAAATAATTAAATGTTTGCAATCTTGTGGAAAATATTCAGGTCTGTGATGGTTTCTCAAGTTTTTAAGAAGTTATTTTTGCTAAGGTCATCTTTCAGGGCAGAAAAATTGAACCTCGAGGTTTTTTACCACTCTACAGTCTAATACTTAAATTACTGTGTATTTACCTAATTTCTTATTTTGTGCCTTACTATATGTGTATGAGTAGATTAGAATGTTACCTGAAGTGTCTTGCAAAAATATTGCGGGCTTTGTGAAAATTCTCCTCTGGGTCTTTTTGTAAATGTTTTCCACGATAATTCAAAATATATTTTTTCATTAATTAATATTTTTAATTGTAGTTTCTTCTGCTTTCTTATGGAGATTGGATGTAGATGAGACTGAGGTTTCATTTGTTGTGAAATCACATAGGGATTCTTTAAATTTACTTAGTTGCACTTCTCTGATGGTAGTTCTTCACTGATAAAAAAATCACATCCAGAAAAAATATACTAAAAAATGAAATAAACCTGTATAGGAGGGCCAAACAGCAAATCCAGTTAGTTTTCTGGACTTCATCTGACTTTTTGAGAGACACTGGCTGTATCAGAATATTCTTTCAGGTTTCTGTATTTCTTTTATTTTTAATACTTTACAGTATTAAACTTAAAGTAATAGAATACTATCATTCTTTCCTTTTTAAGTATGAAAAAATGTTTGATACTGAATCTTGATTCCTCTTTGGGGAATGAGCTGAGATGCAGTTAGGTTTTGGCCATGAGTGTACAGATGAATACTAATGACCATATTTTAAAAAGCTAAATTTAATTTTAAGAGCTTTTTTCCCCCTAGTATTTTCTTTCACATAAATTAATTGAAAATTAATTTAATTTTACTTACCACATTTTAAAGACCTATTTCTTTCAAACATGGCATTTATTTACTTCTAACTATTGCAGAATTTGTTTCTGCTGTAATGTTTTGCCACTCATAATTTTTTTTGTTCATCTGAATTGTAAGACTTTATCTTTCTAGAAGAAAAAGTATGTTTCTATCATGATCTGAGTGCTCTGTAGTGAGCTTTCTCAAATTTTCTCTCTGAATTATTTTTGCAAAATCAGCCTTATAGTAGCTTGCCAGATACTACCTTGATCTATGTAAATTGATTACAGGTGTAGTATTAAGGAAACTTCCCTGCCTGACCATCTGGGAGCCTCTCTGGCAGTCACTCTTGCACCACCTGAGCTGGACCTGGGGCTCTTCCCAGCTACAGCTCCCACATTCCCACAGTCAGAACAGGTTTCCTTACTGGGCTGACCCCAGGTTTCCCATAGCAGTCTTGAACGTCCCAGCCATTAAAATAATTTCATCACAGCACAATAACAAACAAACAGCTCGGGCTGGTGTCTCTGGGGAGGGACCCAGAACAAAGGAATCCCTGGGCTCTTATCCCCTCACCAAGCATGGGGAGGTGTGGGACCGTCGGCTCCTGCCGTGTCCCAGTGTCCGGTGCCCTGGCTGGGCACAGGCCCCGGGCCCTTGTGTGCCCAGGATGGGCTCTTCAGGGCCTCTGTGCCTGGGCTGGCCCAGCCTGAGCTCAGCCTGCAGCTCCCACTGCAGCTGCACCCTGAGCTGCCTCAGGGAACACGTTCCTCAACAGCAGCAGCCAATCTGACTGCACGGATGTAACTATATTAAGTGCTGTACAACACAACTATATAAATATGCAGAATGTACTATGTACTGGAAAGTTCAACTGGCTTAGAAAAAATATTCCCCTAAGGGATGTTATCTTTTGGATTTCACAGAATCACAGAATGGTGTGGGTTGATCTCCATGAGGTTCTCACAGTCTCACTGCTCAGTCTGTCCAGATCCTTCTGGATGCTATCCTTTCTTTCCAGGGATGCTGACTGCACCACATAGCTTGATGCTGTCAGCAAACTTGCAGAGGGTGCAGTTGATTCCAGTGTCCATGTCACCAACAAGGCTGTTTAACAGCTCTGGTACCTGATTATCCTTACAGAACACTGCTCATTATTGGTCTCCACTTGGACATCAAGCTGTTGACCACAACTCTTTGAACGTGGCCATCTAGCCATTTCCTTTTCCAGCTAGAGGTCCACTCATCAAATCCATGTCTCCAGTTTAGAAACAAGGAAGTTTTGTGAGACAGTGTCATGCTTTGCACAAGTCCTGGGTGTTAACATCAGTTGCTCTTTTCTTAACCACCATTGCTGTAACTGTATTGTAGAAGGCCCTTAAATCTGTCAGGCATGATCTGGCTTTAGTGAAACCATCTACTTCATAATCTTACTGGGAACCAAGGTGGGACTTCCAGCCTTATAGTTCCCTGGGTCTTTCTTATTTCCCCATAGACTTCGGCTGCTCAGAAAACCTCTTTTCCTCCCAGGCTACACGTTACTTCCACCCTCTGTACCCTTTCATTTAGTATTTTGAGTTCATCCAGTAGCTCCTTGTTCATCTAACACCATTCTGATATTTTTGCCCAACTTCCTCTTTGTTGGGATAATCACTCCTGGGCTTGGAGAAGATGATCCTTTATTTAAGGGTGATTCTTTAATACCAATCAGCTTTCTTGGGTCCCTCTTCCCTCCAGGCCTTTATCCTATGATACTGTATGAGGTAGATCCCTGAGGAGGGCAAAGGCTGCTCTCCTGAAGGCCAGGGTAGTGAGCTTTCTGTGCACCTTCCCTGCTTTCCTAAGGATCTCAAACTCCATTCAAGGCTGCCCTCGAACTTCACGTTTTCCACCAGCCCCTCCTTGTTGGGGGAAAAAACGTCCAGCATAGCACCTCCTCTCCTTGGCTCCTCCATCAATTGAAGAAGGAAGGTATCATCAATGCATTCTAGGAAGCTTCTGGATCGTGCTACTGTGTTGACAGATATTAGGGTGGTTGAAGTTCTCCATAAGGAACAAGGTTTGTGTATGTAAGGCTACTCTTCTCTGTAAGGGGCCTCATCTTCTCTGTGTCCCTGGTCAGACAATCTGTAGCAGACACCCACTAAAGATCCACCTTCCCTTGCCTGCCTTTAATCCTGACCTATTAACTCCCAAGTCAGGTCCTCATCCATCCCCAGGTGAGGCTCGGTGATCTCCAGCTGGTCACTGACATAGAGGGCAACATTAACTCCTTGCCTACCCTGCCAGTCTTTCCTGAAGAGTCTACATCCTTGCATTCCAGCAGTCTACTCTTTGGAGCCATCCCACTGTGTGTCCATGACATACCAATGAGGTCATAGGCATGCCCACATGTCTAACTCTTGGAGTTGAGACCCTAATGAAGCTGACTTACTGGCTGGCGTAGCTGGAATTCCTTTGTGTTGTTCTTCTGGTGTTTTTCTGCTGACCTGTGATCCCTCTTAAGGCTCTGGGCATTGACACCAAATTAATAGGAGTGCGATGTGTTGGGACCCATCCCCATATGGGCCACCAAGTGTTGGTGTCGGTGCTTCGCATCAGTTGATGGAAACTGACTGTCACCATCAGTTTATCATTACTATAAAGCTTTCATACCTTCTCTGTGAGTTCCCACAGGCAGCTTCTCACAGCACTGACTCCTTTTCCTACTGCATGGCTGGCTGATTCCTCCCTGTCCCTTGCACAATTGCCTGACCCTTCCCACTCCTCACAGCACAGCCAACCAACTCCAGCTCTCCTCTCAGCCAGCTAACCCGTTCTTTTATGCCACCCATCCTTACTGGACATAGCTGTGCCTGTTAGGGGCAGGGCTGTTCCTACTCTTTGGTAATTTCTGCAGCTGCAGCCCTGCAGGTGCGAGATTGCCTTCAGCACTATATCCTCCTACAATCCATCCTCCCACAGGGATGGACTGAAGTTCCCTTCCCCTGGCATCTTTCATTTGAAGCCCTGCTCACTAGCCTCTTTGAACATGATGGACCGCGTCAGCTCTCAGTAGACCCAGTTTCTGAAAGCAAGTCCCTTAGTGAATGCAGGCAAACCCTTGGCTGGGATACAGCCCCAGAGGCATTTGTTGGTTCACCAGATTTGACTGGCCCTTTCAAACACCTTTCCTTTGACTGTGAGCATTGATAAAAGACTGCCTGTGGAATCTTAAATATTTTAACTTAGAAAAAATTTGAATGTTGGTATTTATTATGTTTGCTTTCTGGTTTTGTGATGCAAGTATTGTGTATCTTGATTCACCTTTACTGTTCTGTTTTTGCAACCAAATTATTCTTGCCAACATACTTTTAGATTTGTGTGTATCTGAAAGGTGCTTCCTCTTAGGGAGATCTGCTTTTAAAAGATATGCAGATAAGCTTTAGAACTTGACAGTACACCTTAACATTTGCTTAGCAGGGTGAAGGCACTAGTTAAGGCTACTTTTTCCCTTTTAGTGTTCCACCTTGGAAAATTGAAAGCATAAACACAACACTTTAGTTATTACAATATATTGTTAGTGAAGAAGCATGGCAGAAGGAATACTTTTCATACTTTGTGCTTGACTCATTAATGCCTGGTGCAGAAGCACACTTGCATCTCAGTTCTTGATTCTCTAAAGCCCTTGATATCTGTGAAAAGATTCAGGAAAGAATGATATTCTACAGAGTCTCATGGTGATGTGGATGGAATGGGGCCTCCAAAGGCCTTAATCCTACCTTTCAGTCAGATTATAGATAACTTTAAGCAGTAACTCAAAGAATTGTCCATGTTAATTTAAAAAAAAAAAATCAAACGGAACAAATTCTCTGTTCTTCACAGTTCTGTTTGGTGGTCCTCAATGTGAATTTGCTTCCTTAATATGTAAGGCTTTAAACATACTACATTCTATGTCTTTTACCTTTTTCTCTGTTACCTGGTAACTCTGAAGAGGATTCTCGCTTCATCTTCTCTATACTGTGGCCTTAAGCTGTTAAAGATATGTTTATAATTTCTTTAACATATGTTATTAATTTCTGTTTGTGAAATATCTGGTAATGTGCACAGTTTAAGTTGGAATTTGGGCACATGGTGGGATTATTTGGGGCTGTCTTATGCAGGGCCAGGAGTCAAACTCGATGATCTTTGTGGGTCGCTTCCACTTCTGCATATTCTATGATCCTGTGACTGTATGTTATGCCTCTGTATATGTCTTGTCCTTGAATCAACTCTGAGTTACCTCCTAGTCCATTTTTTCTGATGGATGCACGCTTGGTTCAAAGTGTAATAAGGCCTTTTTAACAACCCAGGAGCAGCTAAGTGCCTTTTCAAATGATCCTTGATTTTTATTTTTATTGTGATATAATGGAAAAACTTTCGTTTCTTTTAATTTCTGGAGAACTCCTAAAGCATCAGAATCAACTTTTGAAACTTTGACTTATAATTTGACTCAGTTGCCTTGTCTGCTGGTCCTGTAAGTTGCATTGGATTTGTGTGCTGATAAATTGAGGTTCTTTTTATTCAGAAGTTATTCCACATACCTGTGGAAACTTGCCTATTTTTGACATTTTTCTGATTACAGGCAGCAAACCTGTGTTTGTGTGCCAAGAAATCTATTAGTCCTTGTGGATAGCAGTGCCAGTGAGGTCTGTCTGATCAATTCTCTTGGCCTCCTCTGATTCATGTCAGTAGGAAAGTGGTAAGTTGGGGTTTTTTATAAGAGATGTAGACCTACTACTTGCCATTTTATGTTAGCTTATATTTCTGTTTTTCAAATGAGAGGTCAGCTGCCTACAAAAAGCATTGTTTGCCTTAACCTTTGGCCCTGACATTTTGTTAGCCAGAGCACAACTACTAGACTTAGTCTTGTTACTGTTATGCTGAAACTATACTAGTCAGATTGCACAGATTTTTTTCTTTACATTAACTTTATCTTCTTTCTGAAGTTTGGTTTGCTATGTACAAGATTCTTTGCCTGCTCTTTTCAAAGCAAATCCTAACAGTTAGAATATAAAATTTCTGAAGTATTTAACTTCAGGGTTTTATTGATGGGGGATGTGGTATAGGAACAAAATTGGACCAAAGTTTTTGTGCCTTCAGTAGTTTTATATGTAGGGCATTTCATAGATGTAGGTGTCTTAAGTATAATAAATACATTTTTCCCCTCTGGAAAATGTATATTTATATTGTGAAAAATTAATATTGCCTACTGACTATACAAGAAGTGTACTACAGCTGTTTCAATACAGATTTAATTATTCTACTGTCTTTCCCATTACAGGGTGGTTTTTTTGGTTGTGGCTGTTTTTTTTTTTAACTGCGATATGTAGGAATCCAAGCATAACTCACATTATTTCCTACTTCAGATAATAATGACATGTTGTGCTTGGAGCAGTCCCAAAGAAATTAAATGCTTACATATTTGAAGGTCCTTGATAAATGAAGAAAGCTTTTACTTTAGCAGATTAATGTCATCATTGTTAGCAGTTTTTCAGTTCTTGGAAACTGTGCTTTGTTTATGAGTGGGAAGGTACCACACATAAACTTGATTTCAAGCACTTTCCAATTCTTTTTGAATATGTTACCCACTTTCTGCAGAAGTTCACCATAGAACTGCAGCAGCACAAGACGAAAGTTGCTAACCAAGCAGATTATTGCATCAGAATGTCACTTCATTCTCTGACCAAAGAGTGTTCTGGTTTTACTGAGATATGAAAACCTGTTTTCTCTCACATTCCTTTCTGATGGGAAGACCCAATGCAAAGTGGCTTCTATTTGAGACTGTTACTGGTGATAGAAACAGTGGAAAATGAAAATAGTAATGTGAACCAAATGGTGTGAGACAATGCAAAAAGTTAATATATTGCTTTTAGTACTGTACTCAAGACACAGTAAACATCTCTAACAATTGCTGTCATTTCCTCATTTCACATGATCTGTTCATAAAAATTCCATTTCAGTTTTTAAATATGTTCATCTAACACAAGAAAATACTGTAAATATTTGTAACATCATGTTTTGTTTTGGTTTTGTTTTGTTTTGTTTTGTTTTTTAATCTGGAAAAAGAGTGTTTGGGGAAACAAATGGAAATGAAAAATGTTTTTATATAAAAATATTGTCTGTATATTTTAATAAGCAAAAGCTTTCATTTGTAAAGCATCTTGTGTCATTGCATGAAAAGTATTTTATATCTGTGGAGATGACTTAAAACTGAAGAGATATAAGATGTATTAAAGAAACCTATTTTGTGACTGTGTAGTGCATGGTGAATATGATTTTGTTTGTGCTGTAATATATTCTGGTTTTTTAGGTTAGTGTGGTTTCTGATTACATTATATATATGCCTAACTAATTTCTTAACTCTAGTTGTTGTAGCATGTCGTTTAATAAATGTAATTATGACTTAAATTTTCCTGTGTTCTTGACTATTACTTTGGGGATTTTTTTGGTC